CTGTGATTTCTTACGGGGCCATGGCCCGACAGAAGCCAATCGTAGTCAGAGTGAGGAGGGCCGAACGGTGACTCGTTGACCTTGCGCGCGCGTGGCCGGGCGGAGGGCCCGGCCTCGGGGGGGGGTCTGCGCGCCCAAGGACAGGGGCCCTTGGGCAGCTATCATCTTTTGAAACTTTTCTCGGGAAACATGTCAGTCCCTATCCTCGCCCCCCCTCTCCGCGCTGGCACGCCAAGTGGCGCTCGTTCTGGCGTTATTCTTAGCGAGAGCGTTTCGCCGCGCGCAATCCAGGCGGTTCAAGTTGCGCTGGTGTCGCATTTGTCCGCCCCCTCTCTCCCCCCGGAGCCGTGGGGCCACTCACCTGGCAGTTCCCCTGGCCTTCGCGGTAAATATGTGCAAGAAGACGGTCGTGAAGGGTTCCGCGGGGGCGTTCGGGGTCAAGTCTGCGATGGGGGAAAAGACGCCGGCGCTGACTATGAAGTCTTTCGACTGCAGCGCGCTCTCCTCAGGCGCTGGAACGCGCGTCTCCGCCGTCTGGTGGCATCCTCGGCGCCGCGGGCCGCAATTTTCTTGTCCTATCTGTGCTTTGCCCTCTTCCTACTGCATTACTTGTCTGTTCTCGCTCTCTTTTGGATGATTGATGATAAGGGATTGTTCTCGCTGTCTCGATTGAAGGATAAGAGATTATTTGCGTGCGTCTAACCCCGTTAAGCCGCGAGCATCTCAAATGGAAAGGGGACTTTCGTGGTCATCGATGCAGAGATGAACAACTCGGCCCTCGACAGCGGCGCGCCTGCGGATTCTTTTCTTTGCGCGTTTTGTACAGATAGTGAGCAGAGAAAATGAATATAGTGAGTCTTCATTTGTCTTTTGATTCGTGCTGCTTCTCTTCATCTCGGCCTTCATTTCTGATTCCTGGCTGTCCGCGGGGTTCTCGCCCAGCCATAATGAGAGCATTAGCAGGGAATTGAATCGTCGAATACAAAATCATCGAAGTAGGTGGCAGCCAAGAGCTTGTCAACGAGTCCCAGGACACGCGGCCCACCGTGTCCTTAGCCCCGTCTAGAGCAAATATACGAGCGGTACTTCGATGATAGATTTTTCAGACGCCCTCGAAGTGTTTCGCGCGCCCCGTTCAGCCGCGGCCATCTCGAGTCAATTGCGGCCCCAAAGACAGGGGGCGACTTTCGCGCACATCGGCGCAGAGATCAAGGAGTCGGTCCTCGACGACGGCGCACCTGGGGATGCTTTTTCTTCGCGGAGAGAAAATGGAGCATGAATGGAGTGAGTGTTTTCTCTTCATATCGGCCTTCCCCATCCCCGGCTGTCTCTAGGGTTGTCGAGGTAGAGGAGGAGGTCGAGGAGGATCGACGGCGAGGATGGAGGAGGAGGAGGTGATCTAGGGGGGCGAAGGGGGGTGGTGCATGTGAAACATAGGAAACATATCCGCAAGGGCGACGTCGGGCCTGCGAACGACGTCGAGCCAGTTCAAACAAAGCATCCAACACAAAAGCTTGCCTTTACCGCTTGCCGCAAAGCCTGCGCCATTCGCCAGCTTCATGGAGCACCTTCCGTGGACCTTTTGGGGGGGCTGCTGGGCAAGACGGTCGAGGCAGAGGACGCTGCGTCGTGGCGGGAAGGCAAGGGGCGCTCCTCCGTGCACGACGGGCTGCGGAAGATGTGGGGCTCCGTGGAGAAGGGTGCCCCCCATGTCTGGCGGTGGCCAGCGTCCGAAGGCATTGGGCCCAAGTGGGTTCCACAGGAAATGGAGGAGAAGGAGGGGGGCCTCAGCAAACCCGTAACTTTTATTAACAGGAACGCGGTGGACGCCGCGGTGAAGTCCTGAACTGTCGCTAGACGTCGCTCATGTGTGGTTGAGAAATTCCGACGCCCCCTACACTAGAGAACGGCGCGTTCTCTTTGGCTGCTTGACCCAGAACGGCGCGTTCTTCTTGATCTCAGGGGCAGCCTTATTGTGTCTGGCTTGGTGGCGCAGCGATCTTGGGCTTTCCCTATCACTGCATGCGCTGAGCGCGCTGGCCCCCCCCCTAGAATACTTTTCTGTGGGGCGCGCTGTGCGCCCTAGAGCAGAGGGGGCTGGCAGTTTCGATGCGAGAACAACAACCTCATGTGAACGCGCTGAAACCCTTAGGATAGACTCTCGGAAACAGTGCGGCACGCTGTCAACGTGGGGAGTTAAAGGAAAGGGCCTCGAAGGGTAATCCCACCAGCCCTCTGGGCGTAGGTGGTTTAGGGAGTTTTCTCTTCCATCTTCCCTTCTTCCCCATTCGGGGAGGGGTGTGCCCCCCTCCCCCCCCCCCGACCCCCTTCCCCAATGGACCTGGGCGGGCCTGGTCGCGAGCGGTCAGAGTGTCCAGGATGGCCCAGGGTGGCTCCATGAGCGCCTCGGATAGTCAAAGCTGATTTCCCAGATGGCTCAAGATAGCCTAAGATGCCGCAAGATGGCTCCGAATATGCTGCAAGACGCCTTCAGAACGCTCCAAGGCAGCTCCAAGAGACCCCCCAATAATCCAACATCCTTCAACAACCTAAGGAAAACCACTGATTTTCGGCTTCTCGCCTTTCCGCTTCCGATGGCCATCTGAGGCCTCAACGTGGCTCCAAGAGGGGCCAAGGAGGCCCCAAGAGGGGCCCGAGAGGGCCCCAAGACGGCCCCGCGAGCGCCCAAGAACGCTCCAGGAGCGCCCCAAGAGGGGTCCAGGCGGCTATTTCGGGAGCTCCCGAGGGGCAGGGTTAATAATTAGGGAACCCCCCTTCTTTGATCGATCGCTTCCAAGATGGCCCCAAAGGGCGCCCAGGAGGCCCCGAGAGGCTTCCAAGAGGCTTCCAAGAGGCCCCAAGAGGCCGCCATGAGGCCCCAAGGAGCCCTCAAGAGGCTCCAAGAGGCTCCCAGGATGGTCCCAAGAGGCCTCCAGGAGGCTCCATGAGGCCGCCATGAAGCTCCAAGAGACCCCCAAGAGGCCCCAACAGGCCTCCAACAGGCCCCCAAGAGCCCCCCGAGATGATCCCAAGCGGCCTCAAGAGGCCCCCCCGAAGCACCCAAGACGCCCAAGAGCACTGACCGCCAAGAGACCCCCAAGACGCCCGCAGAGGCTTCCAAAAGGCTTCCAAGAGGCATCCGAGCGGCAATCAACCATCCACCCAGCGTCATCATTCTCCTCATCCCTCCTTCGCTCGGTTCCTCGCCACCCCCTTCATCTATCCATCTGGCCTCCTCTTCCGCCTCATCCTTTGCACGGATCGGCTGTCCCTCTCGTTGCTCCCCCACTTCCCTGGTCTCTTCAACTTGCCTGGGCGTGGATTCTGGATGGGCTGGCGGGGACGCGCGAAGCGTCAATATTTTGGTTGCAGGGGGGGGGGGCGGCGAATGGACATCCTTTGTTGCGTGCTTCGTATGGCCACGGCCGCGATTTCTATTGATCATTCATATTTTGGTTATAAATGCAACGGCTTCCACCTGTCATTCATGTTATTGTTATTCATATTATTCGCTTCGCTCATTCCGCCGGCCCCGGGGGGCGCTCTCTGGGGCCCCCCCGGGAGCTTGTTGGGGGTCCTCTTGGGGGGCTCTTGGGGGCCTCGCGAGGTGTTGGTCGATTGCGGCCCCCCCCATCCTCGTGAGGGGTGGCGAAAAATAGCCCGCCCTTGGAGCGTTCTGGGCGACCTTGCGGGGCCTCGCCGGAGTAGTTTTCGTCCGGGGCCCCCCGGGCCCCGGGGGCCGCGCCAACTTAGCGCGCTGCTGGCCCGTTGGGCCGGCGAATTTGTGTCGTAGAAGAGTAGAATGATGGGGGTATATGTTGCGTGCTTCGCCATTGAGGGGGGCGTCGAGAGAGAAGGAGTGCGTCGCGTTGTGCTCAAGAGTAGAAGCGGTCGTGCTTCATATGCGCGCGCATGTAATTCGTTTCTCCGCCGTCGCAGCTGTCTGTTATCAGCGCCTTTTTCAGCTGCCACCGGGCGCGGGTAGACGCCGTGGTTTCGACTTGCGCGATCGCCAACCGGGGTGAAAGGAGAAATGACATCAGAACGGGAAAATCATGACCCCCCCGTCATATAATGTCGTCTACCCTCCTATCATTGTCAGAATGGTCATCCCGAGCCCCAGGTGACCTGCAGCAGGTGTTCGAGGACGTGGAGGTCGACGTGGGCAATGGGCGTTTCATTCTGAATTTCTGACGAACCCGCCGTTCCCCTCGTCATTCCCCTCCTCCTCCTGTCCTCCTCCCTCTCCCTGCTTCTCCCTCCTCCGCTCCTGTTCTCCTTCTCCTTCGCCCCCCCTTCCCCCTCCTCTCCGTTTCCCCCCCTCCTCCTACTCCCTCCGTCCTTGCTCCTACTCCATCCTTCCGCTTCCCCTTTGCCGACGACGACGACGCGACGAAGAAGAAGACGAAGGCGGCGATGACGACGGCGAGGCTTCGCGGTTTGCCCCGATCCCTGCGACGCGGAGGCCAGGGGGTCAGTCGGGTGGCCGGGAGGTCTGTCTTTAAAATCTAACGACCCCAGCCTGTCGGGTGGGGGGGGGACTTGTAAAACAATTTCTACCCACTTGCTTTTAACGGCGGCGGATCTGGGGCAAAAGCGTCGTCGACCCGGACGGGGCCTACTTGCGCAACTTGCAGACAGGTTGCCTTCGCGAACGAGCAGAACTTCCTGGCTCTACCATGGGCGCCATTTATCTTCAGGGCGGCGGCGCCGAAGAGTCCTGCACAAGGTTTGCCTGTTCCCACGTGGGCCAGCTTTCCAAATCCTTGGCGCTTCGCGAGATGATCATTTCCAGATGACAAAAAATGGTCTGAAACTTCGTGGGGCACCCGGCGCAATAAAATCATGCGCAAGCACTGTCGGGGTTTGTGCAAGATGGACACGCGATCATATACCACTCTTTTCGAATTGACGACCGCGAGGAATTCCACGGCAGCGGCGAGCCAGTTGGCTAGAAAAACGGAAACTTTGCACAAGCTACAGAGCTAGCGAGCATACCGGCGGCTGCGGAATGATGTCGAGCCTTCCACTGAGAGCGCGAGAGTGTCTAGAGAACGTTTACTACGAAGTACAAACGAAAAATTATTGACTGCGAAAGGAAACGCGCTTTTGGAGACCCCGAGAGGGTAATGGGATTCACCTTTGTGCTGAAGGACAAGAACATTTTGACCGCGCTGAACACGTTCAACGTGGACGAGATCTTTATCTTCGGAGAATGCCTTCAGTCGTTTTGTAAAATTGTTCATCATGAGGTTGAGAGAATACGTGAGGATATCATGCGATTTGTAAATACGTTCATCATGAGATTGAGGGTTTTGTGTGGGTCATGGTATAGTTCATCATGATATAGAGGGTTGTGTCCAGCGCGACTGATGCATGCTAAAATAATCACAGGGATATCTGTCGTTCCGCATGGGCGACATCATCATTCTTGCCGAACACGATGAAGGTTTTGAAGGGTGGTCTTACGGTATGAATGCCCGCAGGGAGTTTGGCTGGTTCCCGAGTAGTTTTGTTTTGCCCAATTCTTTTTAATGCTTGCCGAAATTCTTGCCTGCGCGCGCGTGGGGGAAAAACGCGTCTGCGAGCTTCGGGGAAGGCGTGCGACAATTTGCTTGATCCATTTCTGATGGGGCGGGTCGGGGGGCGGCGGTTGGGGGGTAGTCCTTCATCGAAGGGGCGTCTGATGGCATTCGGGTTTAGGAGCTCCTCGGCTTTCCCAGGACGTATCAGATCCTTCGGCCCAGCCCAGGCCGTTCTCGCGATGCCCTGACCCGGTCCCTCGCCCTCACTCGCGTCCTCGCCCCTCTCCCACTGGCTTTCTCGGTAGTGGGTGAAATGTCGGATGCCGCAATGGTTGGGATTGCTGGGTGGCGTCGGTCGGGGTTGCTGGGTGGTGATGGTTGGTTGCCTTGGAGAGTGCCGGGTGGGTGGTTGATGGGTGGTGATGGTTGGTTGCCTTGGATATTGCCGGGTGAGTGACTGCGGTCCGGATTCGTAGACCTGCTAGGCAAGCCCTGTCCATTCACTTGCTTTCATATGGCCTTGGTTTGGAAATAAAGGCCTGCCAGGCCATCCCTGTCGAGTAGTTTGTTTTCCTGTAGTCTCGGTTCGAAACGATCACCGTGTTCGTAGTCTTTTTCGACGTTCCCTGTTCCCCCCCACTTGCGGCTGCAGCTGCGCGCCAAATCCTCGCGTCTTCTTCCAGTCGCCCAGGGCCCATTTCGTACAGGAAGCTCTCTGCAAAGGTTTCTGGGGCCCTGTGCGCGGGTGGCGTTGGTGGTAGGAGTCCTTCAACCACTTGCCCCGAGGGAATGCGCATCGGTGCCGCGTTGGTTCTGTTCTCATGCCGCAGAGAGAGGGGGAGACAAAGGGAGGAAGAGATGATGGCATCGCCCCGCGCGCATGTTTCAGAGCGATTTGTGCTGGGACCCCCCCCCGCCGGCCCGCCTCGGCCCGGCGCCCCTCCGCGGCGGCTGCCATGGAGGGCTCGTCAGCATCGCGTGCGCTTCCCTTCCCGCCCCTTGCGATCCAGCCAGGGCAGTCGCACCGCTTGGGCAGTCCGTGCCTTTCGGGGCCCCGTCGCCGCCGCAGCCGGCGCAGCCCCCGGTGCAGCGGCAGAAGCCGCAGCTCCTGCCGCAGAAGACGCCGGTCTCTCCGTCGTCGCCTCAACGCTGCGCGGGTTGCGACATGCGGCCGTCGCGGAAAGCGAGGAAGACACGTATTGGCGTGCGCCTCGAGGGGTCAGCGTCGCTCCCTGCGCCGACGTCCAATTTACAGACTACGCCTGAGGCAGTGGCGCAGAACTGGGCCCGCCGCGTCGCGCTGCGCGCCGCTGCAGCGCCCCGGGCGCCGAAGGGGGCGCCGACGCCCGTCCTGCCCCTTCCAGCAGCGACCCCCGCCGCGCCATCGCCAGCAGCGATGCCTGGTGCAGCCGGAGGCGCGGGCGCTCTGCGCCTAATCCGCGCCCCTCGTGCCGAAGGGGCAACCGTCTGCTCCTGCGCCGACGCGTGCCGCGCCCTCAGTGGGCGCAACGCCTGCGGCGGCGCACGACGGCAAGGCCTGGCACGCGCCGTTGGACCGGCGCGGCTGGTGGCTGCCGCCGCCCCCCGCCTCGTCGAGGAGCGCGCCTGCGGCGGAAGGCCGCGACGGGGGCGCCTGGCTGCTCCCTCCTTGCCAAGCGGCGCCTCCGCGCGCCCGCGCGGAGGCGACGACGCCGATCGCCTCCGAGACGACGACGCCCCGCAAGGCGCGCCCGCAGTCTGGCGCGGAGGCGCCAGTGCCCCACGTGGCGCGCCCGCAGTCTGGCATCGAGGCGCCAGTGCCCTGCAAGGCGCGCCCCAAGCCGGCGGCGTTCCCGGGCGCGACGTCGAAGGCGCCTCCCGGCCGCCAGGAACCCCTCGCCGCGACGTCGAAGGCGTCGCCGAGCAGTCGGGCCACCCCGGCAGCGTCGGCTGAGAGGATCGAGGCCCAAGAGCGCCCGCGGGTGTCTCCAACTTCCTCGGAGCCGCCGACGGCGCAGCCCAGGAAACGCCCGCGCTTTGAAGTTTAGTCTCTCTGATTTGAGTATGTGTTGCATGCTTCGTATAGCGCGTTTGGGCCACTCGTCATACACGAGGCGCGAATTCGACTGGTCATTCATGCTTTGTGCTAGAGGGGTATAATGATGTAATGATGCGAGTATATGTTGCGTACTTCGTACAGCCAGGAACGATTCTACTTTCTAGAGGAGTACAGTGATAAAATGGGCTTCGGGGTGAAAGGGCCCCCCCATGGAAAATGAAAGCGGGCGTGAACCAGTCAAACCTCTGCAATCCTCCTCCTCTTCCTCCTCCACATTATGTTCCTCCGTCTCCTTCTCCTCCTCCTCCTCCTCCTCCCCCTTCTCCTCCTCCTCCTCCTCCTCCTCCTCCTCCTCCTCCTCCTCCTCTTCCTCCTCCTCTTCATTTCCCCTCCTTCCCCGTCCGCCTTCATCCCCCCTTCCCCTCCTCCGTCCTCCCACAGCGGCAAGGAAAAACAAAAGAAAACCAAAGGAAATACCAGGTGTGTCGCAGAAAAATAACAAAAACCAGCGGAAAACAACAACAAAACAACGAAACCAAAGGCTTGGAATTGAAAACTAAGCAAACACCGAAGGAACATAACAAAACAAAACAAAACAAATCCAAGCATCTGTCACCCTTCTCGGTGGAGCGTAGGGGTGGGTTCCATTATATATATATATATATAAATACAAACTATTATTATTATTAATTAATTTATTTATTTATTTATTTATTATTATTATTATTAGTAGTAGTAGTTTGTGTAGTATTTTTGTCAATATGTATGTATATATATACAAAAATTGTTTTCTGTTGCTTTCCTTGCCGGTGTGGAAGGAGGAGGAGGAGGAATAGGAGGAGGAGGATGGGGGGGGGGGGGGGGGAGGAGGGGGGGGGGGGCGGGGGGGGGGGAGGAGGAGGAGGAGGAAGAGAAGGCGGAGGCGGAGGAGGAGGAGGAGGAGGGGAGAGGAGGAGGGGGAGGAGGGGGAGGAGGTAGGAGGGGGGGGGGAGAGGAGGAGGGGGGGGGGGGGAGGAGGGGAGGGGCAGGAGGAGGAGGAGGAGGAGAAGGAAGAGGGGGGAGGGGGAGGAGGAGGGAGGGGGCAGCTAACGCCAGCTAGCACGCTGCGCCCCGACCGAGGCTCAAGCAGCTCGCTGTTCCACTCCCTGCTTTTTTTCCCTTGCAATGGGGAACCCAAAGCCAGGCGCTGAGGCTCTCGAGCGGAAGCGAGAGCAGGGGCAAACACCAAAAATAGCATGGCTTCCTGCTTACAGCCTCAACGCATGTTGGAAGTCTTCCGCGCGGAAGAATAACAAGAAAGGGGGGGGGATGTAGTCTGCAAAAACAAGCCAGAAGCGCGGTCGAAGTGCAGCGTGCCTGTTCGAGCGTGTTGTGACGTCGTCGTCGTTGCCGCCGCCGCCGTCGCCGCCGCCGCTGCCGTCGTCGTCGTCGTCGTGGTCGTCGCCGCCGACGCCGTCGTCGTCGTCGTCGTCGTCCTCCTCCTCCTCCTCCTCCTCCTCTTAGTAAAAAGCAAAAAAATATTATCCCGGCAAAGCGACCTAACAGCGATGTGTATGAGCATATCTGGAAGCATTCCCTTTAATATTCAGATGAGAATCCAGTTGTAGAATTCTGTTGTTCTCGCAGTCGTAGTCGCATTCGCGATGACAGTCGCAGCGGCAACGGCAGTCGCAGTCACAGCCTCAGCCTCAGCCTGCCTCAGCCTCAGCCTCAGCCTGCCTCAGCCTCAGCCTGCCTCAGCCTCAGCCTCGGCCTGCTTCTGCTTCAGCCTCAGTCTGCCTTCAGCCTCGGCCTCAGCCTCAGCCTGCCTCAGCCTCAGCCTGCATCAGCCTCAGCCCCAGCCTCAGCCTGCCTCAGCATCAGCCTGCCTCAGCGTCAGTCTCAGCCTCAGCCTCAGCCTCAGCATCAGTCTGCTTCAGCCTCAGCCTCAGTCTGCTTTCAGCCTCGGCCTCAGCCTTAGCCTGCCTCAGCCTCAGCCTGCCTCGGCCGCAGCATCAGCCTGCCTCAGCATTCAAAGTGTGGCCCAGGAATGGAATTCTGGGAACTAGAAGAACACGAAGTGGCCTACAGTTGGCTCCGGGCATTCAAAATCATGCCCAGGAATGGAGTTCTGGGAACTCGAAGAGCACGAAATGGCCTACAGTTGGCTCCTGGCATTTAAAATGTGGCCCGGGAATGGAATTCTGGGAACTAGAAGAACACGAAGTGGCCTACAGTTGGCTCCGGGTATCCAAAAAATGTTTTTTTTTTTCTTTTTTTTTTTTTGTTAATTTTTTTTTTTTGTTTTTTTTTCCTTTCTCTTTTCTTTCCTTTTCTCTTTTTTTTTTTTTTTTTTTTTTTTTTTTTTTTTTTTGGCCGGGAATGGAGTTCTGGGAACTCGAAGAGCACGAAGTGGCCTACAGTTGGCTCCGGGCATTCAGAATGTGGCCCGGGAATGGAGTTCTGGGAGGTCGAAGAGCACAAAGTGTGTGACTGTTGGCAAAAAGCGAGCCCGGCCCTGTTCCCGGTTCTCCAGAATGTGTCCCGGGAATGGAGTTCTGGGAGGTCGAAGAGCACGAAATGTGTGACTGTTGGGTACGGTTATTCAAAATGTGGCCCGGGAATGGAGTTCTGGGAGGTCGAAGAGCACGAAGTGTGTGACTGTTGGCTTAAAACGAGCCCGGCTCTGTTCCCGGTTCTTTTCCCCGGCACCCGCCCAGACACCCCTGAGGAGTCATGGTGCTCTCTGTTGAGACCGCTAGAAACCTATCAGCAAGAGCTGTTAGGTAATAGTACACATGAAAGCAATCCTGGGGGACTCCTCCCCCGCCCCCCCTCCTCCTACTCCCCCCCCCCCCCCCCCCCCCCCCCCCCCCCCCCCCCCCCCCCTCCTCTACTCCCCCAGCGGGAGTTCCTCTGGATGCTTTGCTCTTTATGCCCTTCGTGAGGTTTGCTGGATTCTGTCCGTATGAGGATTCTGAACGGGAAAGGAACCCCCCCAGCAAATTCCCCAGAATTTGCTTCTATCTCTCTCTCTCTATATGTGTCGTTTTTTTTTTTGTTTTTTTTTTTTTTTGTTTTTCTCAATTCTCTCTTCACGTGTTTTTTTTTTTTTGTTTTTTGTTTTTTTTTTTTTTTTTTTTTTTTTTTTCTTTTCCCCCCCCCCCCCCCCCTGTCTCTCTCTGCTCTCTCTCTCTCTCTCTCTTTTTTGGTTTTTGGTTCAAAAAATAATAATAAGGTGTTTTGCTGGATTCTGTTTCCGTGAGAGCCTTCTGATTGGAAGGAGGCGGAGGAGGGAGGAGAGGAGGAGGAGGAGGATGGGAGGAGGGAGGAGGAGGAGGAGGAGGGGAGGAGGAGGAGGAGGAGGAGAAGAGGAGGGGAGGAGGAGGAGGATGAAGAGGAGGAGGAGGAGGAGGAGGAAGGAGGAGGAGGAGGAAGAGGGAGGAGGAGGAGGAGGAGGAGGAGGAGGAGGAATGCGAAGAGGAGAAGGAATGCGAAGAGGAGGAGGAAGAGGGAGGATGAGGAGGAAGAGGAGGAGGAGGAGGAGGGGGAGGAGGAGGAGGAGGATGGAAGAGGTTTGAATGGTTTACGCCCGCTGTCATTTTGCAGGGGCCCCCCTTTCACCCCGAACCGATGAAGTGATTTGAGTATGCGTTGCGCGCTGCGTATAGCGCGCGATTTGGCAATTTGTTATAGGCGAGCCAAGATTTCAACTAGTTCCCCAATCGGTACTTGCTTCTGTTGGGGCCCTAGCGGGGTCGCCGATTCGGTGGCTGCATAGCCTTGTAGCCCCTTAGTTCTATAACCGCATAGCGTGCGTGTGAGTATGTGTTGTTTTTTTCGTCGGGGCCGCAAAACGAGGGCCATGCGACGCCTTCTTGGCCGCAGCAAATCGCCTTTTGTGGGGGCCCACCTCCAGCCGCCCGTCGGCGCGCGCGCGGCCCAGCCGCGCCCGATGGGGTCCAAGCGCCAAGGAGACGATGTACGCGAGATGCCCGAGGCCCCGAAGAGCTCTTTGCCAATTGCCGATGCCATCTTCTCAGACTTCTCCACGCTATCTTTCTCTCTTCCTCTTTTGGCTTTCTTTCTTTTCTCTCGCCTTGGGCCGCTCTCGCTCTGATTTGTTTTATTTCGTTCTGCGAGAAATGGGGTGCCACTCTCGTGGGGGCTAAGACCATCGGAACTCAGCTTCCGCATTCGCCGTCCCGGGGTCCCAGGGTCTTTGGGGGGCGCTTTTTCGAATCCGACTGGGGAAGGCATGCCGCAATGAGGGGAGAAAAAAGGGCGCCCTTCGGAGATGCGACGCGATCAAAGAGCCAAGATTTCCCATTCGGACTCCGCGGCCTTTCGAATCGTCAACGACCAGCCCTGAGATATCTGTAGTCATCTGTCGCCTCAAGTTTGGCCATGTATATGTTTTTTGTTCCATGGAACGTCGAAGACAACGTCGACGGAGGACGCCCAACGGGCTGCAGAGGCTGCCCCGAATAATCCCCGAAAGAAGCCGCCGAAGTCGACAGAGGGCGCCGCGCAGTGAAAGGCCGGGCTGGACACAGAGGAGAAGGCCAGACATGTCAGAACCGTCAAATTGCCGCGCTGGTCTAGGTACGGGAAGGGAAAGTATAGATCCCTGTCGAAGTGAACGGAGGTGCGAGACGGAGCGCGAATTATCCAGCGAGGCGCTGGAGGATCAATTTTGGAAAAAAGTGGCCCCATGCCAAACCTGCACCGCGCTCCTTGGACGTCCACTTGCCCGGGTCGCGTTGATGCGCATGTGTCTCGCGCGCCGTGGCGTCTCGCGCGCCGTGACGTAGTCGTGCGTCCGAGACGCATGGCAAAGGCACCCCCGTGCTTTGCCCCCCATGCAAGTCACATTTCCAAAGAAAAGGCAGGTCGACTTCGTCGGAGACGACGTCGTTGATGCAGTGCTGGTTGCACTGCAGCTTCCCGAAGTTGTC